CAGCCCCCAGCCCCGGCACCCCCCAGCCGCTGCCTCTGCCCGGCAGGGATCTGCACACTCGCAGCTGGGAGCATTCAGGCACGGCTCACTCTCCGCGCGAGGTGCTGGGAGCCTGGCTCCACGTGTGCACTCACCCAGAGCTGTTTCTGAATCTGCTGCGTTCTAGGGAGAAAGATAACGAGCGAGGGGTGAACCACAGGCCCTGCCGGAGAGCAGGCGCCCCTTCAAACCGAGCACACCCAGACAGCAGCAGGTGACCTCCTGATGAGAAGTGTCTTGCTAACCACAGCCCCGTCTTCTCTTCTACACCATGCCCGTGTGCTCGGCGGGCCCCGGGTGGAGGAGCCTTCAGAGCAACGTCTTACCTGTCTCAGCAGAGACATATACCTCCTCCCAGGTGTAATCCCCCAGGTTCACTGGCTGCTTCAGCCAGCAATCCTCTGCTAGCATTGCGAGAGTCGTGCGCTGCTCCGGAGCAGGATGCAAAAGCCCAGTGATGAGGTCCATGAGACCTGGGGAGGGACAGCAGTAAGACAAACAGCTCAGGCTGTATTTTAGGCACGCTGGGAATGCAAGACATGGTCTATATTCAAAGAATGCAGATTTTAATTACAAATCCTCCCCGTTAATCCCTCATGCAGTACTGTTCTGCCAGTCTTAGTCACATGTGCTCAGCTCTGGGAATGATCTGAGATTTCCAGGTTGTGCAAACTGATAGAAGGAATAATAAGAAACATGAAACTTTAACAAAGTAGCTTCAATGGTATTTTCTAGTTTTAGTTTTAACAAAGGAGCTATGTGGAAGCTGCAAGCTGCCCTTATAGATTAGCAAACTTAGCAAGGACGAGTCAGTGATAAGAGCAGGAGTTAAGACCAAGAACCAGCAAAAATCAGCTTTGCAGTTTGGCAATGAGATAGAATGAACTGAGCATGCGCAGCACTCTGGAGGTAACTGATGGGCAAATGAGGAAGACTACCGAAAGATACGAACGACAAAAGACCACCAGAGACCACCCAGGAGCTGTAATACGGCTGTGTAAAGGACGACCTGAATATATTCACGAGCTCTCAGAAATATAATGAATACGTATACTCCTTCTTGGAAAATGGTTAATATGCATATTGTAGTTGTATTTGACCTGAAATGACAGGGTGTTTGGTGCACACGTTTGGAGGAGAGATCCCCTGTGTGCAGATACCTGCTTAACAGCAGACATTGTACTGTTAGGTTATTACTGGATCTTTGAATCAAAACAGAGAACTGAGCGCAGAGTTACGACAGGACAGAAGTAGAAACGCATGCCACAGAGGCAATCCTGACTCACTGCTTCTGAGCCCAGCCTCGTCCTGCAGTTATCCCGCGTCTGACCTGTGCTTAAAGGTGTGCTTAAGGTTTAGGGAAAGCTTCCAGAATTTACCAGTCAGTGGCAAGTCAACCCACACAATTCATTCAGAAATTATAAAGTGCCACATTATCGTTCGTCCCAAAAGTGATATGGCATGGACTGGCAATAGTTCAACTGAGATAAAACTTGTGTTAAAGTTAGATGAGTGCCATTACTGATCTCAAAGTAATCTACTAGAGTGAACCTTCCCATTATTTTTTCTGGTTTTCTCTGGTAGAAACCTCACTGAAGCTTGACAAGCTGATAGATTGAGTCATCATAATAAATGGGAGGCCTGGAATTTGAAACTAATAAAACATACAGCAGATAGCGGTCTTTGTCGTAGGCATGAAGAACTGCAGAACTTACCTGAAAAGTACACCTTGGATAACTCTGCTTCAGCGAGCGGCTTTTAAAATCATCGCAGAGCACATTTGGAAGCATTTTTCTGGTCTTCCCCTTTATTTCTGGGGAATAAATACTCACCATACTTTCCCAAAAGATGTTGTCCTTTAGAAAAGCAAATGGGAAAAATTCACCTTTTGACACAGGTCGAGGAGGACTGAGGACAGCTGCCATGGCCTCCTCCAGCTCACAGAAGGGATTCTCTCCAAATACAAGGGTGTAAAGGGTGACACCAAGGGACCACATCTCCAGCTCAGGGCCATGGTATCTGTGCAGAGATAAACTTGCATAAACTCAGATTGCAAATACATATTTGTGTGCCGAAGAAACTAAAAACAAAAAAAGGCAGTTGACAGCCCTTATTTCCAACTTTTAACATAGGAAGTTTGTAAGAATTCTAACACAGTAATCACGTGTTTTTTGAGAAGTCTATATTATCCTTCTCCATGAAAGAAAAACAACAGAAGTACAGCTAACCAATTTCAGTTGAGGAGTACGAGAAAGATGCACCTAGACCTCCATGCGCATAAGCTGGTGACAAGAGAACTTAAGCCGCCTCCTTCACCATAAGCCAAAACTATGAAGTAAATATTTAAATGGAAGATCAGACACTTTGGTGGAATCCCATTTGCCCCCTCCCATCCCTTTCAAAACAAAAGTTATTTGGAAATAAATATTAACTATCTAGATTCCATCTGAGAAAAAGGGATGGTTTCTTCACACGGTAAAAGGCTGAATTCCCAGGGCAGTGCTGCTTCAGCTTCCATCTCATTCCCAGCAGGGACTTCCTCTCCCCCTTGCATAGCTTCTTCCCACCCCCCCATTAAGATGAGCTGCCTGAGAACCCATGAAAACAGCTGTGAAATGAGAGCAAGATAACATACTTGCACGTACAATTAACGTTTACCACCTTGTGATGGTAAGGCTTCCCCCTCCAGGAGTGGGTACGAGACTGCCAGCCTCCAGTTAAAGAGCACTCAGAGAAGGAGAGAACAGGGACCAGACAGCTAAGATTTGGGCAGCACGTCCGAGACAGCAGCAAGACAAGCTGCAAGGGAAGAACCCTCGAGTCCGGAGGGGCAGAAAAATCAATGGGGAGATGAACAATGATCAAACAGCAAAAATTCATACAGGGAAGCAAGCAAGAAAGAAGGGAAGAGCTGAATGAGAGTGGGGGAGGTACAAAACGCAGCCGTGGTCAGGAGCAGATGCTATAGAGCAATACTTGCTTATACCACCTCTCTGAAAGAGCAGCTTTTAGTAGAGACACATCAGTGCGTTCGTTCACAGGTATGAAGCAAGCTGATGTACATATTATGAAAGATTAAGGAGAAAGGACATATTCAAGTCACAACATGAATCATCCAAACTCTTCTACCAGGCTGGAAATTATAATTATAGGCTTGTTCTTGAACTCAGCTCTGCAGTAGGACAGACATTAGTACAAGGCTTTGCAAAACATCTGACCAGAATAAGAAAGCCTCTAAACAGGCCTAGTCAGAAACAACTTTGTACTTATTCAAGCCTTTACAAATAATTGGTCACCACAGTGCCCTACTTTATATGCATTCCAAACTTCACAAGTAATTTCTGCCACTGCAGTGCCCTAAATCTCACTGCAGTTTTCTGTGGTTAGATAATCTAGCAGAGTACCAACGGCAAAGCAGCTTGGCTTCTCTGTTCCAGCCCTGCACGCACATTCTGTTGGTGCGACGGACACAAATATTGTTTTTCATAGGGCGACGTACGGTTTGCCAGACAGCACTTCTGGTGAGCAGTACTCAATTGTCCCACAGAAGGTATAAAACAATTTGCCAGGTTCCAGGTAGGCAGCCGAACCAAAGTCCACCAATTTAATTGTGAAATCTTCAGCAATGACAATGTTTTCATCCTTGATATCTCTGTGAAGGACGTTTCTACAGTGGAGGTACCCAACAGCTGATACAAGCTGAAAGAGGAGGAAAGAACTAGGTGTTACTACATACAGAGGTGTCCTCCTGGATAGCCTACATGGCATCACAGAGTCCTGACAGCCACATTTTAGCTTGTTTTCACACCATATAAACACAATACAGATCCTAATTTTGGTGACTGGAAATGAACTCAGGCATGCCCGTCAGCATTGCTGCAGTGGGTGTTACAATGCTCTTGGGCGAGAGACTTTAAAAAGCCTTTGCTTGCTTTCCTCTCACAAATGTGCAGGAAGATGGCACGCCATAGTCAGGACGTGCTTGGTTGCTTGGTTTGAAGCATCAGAGCTTACTGTTACAATCCTGCAGGTTACTCTGTTTTTATCCCAGCTTCATTTGGAGGGTAATTTGATTTCTCCAGAGGATGTTACAGTGTGCCTCCAATACTGCAGGATGACAAAGCATTTAAGAGTGGAGTTTGGTATAAATAATATAATCCTCCTAAATTCCATTCTTCTTTCTGCACGATTCATGCTATAGTGCCATAATTAAGAATAGCATCAGAATTATATCACCTTGGAGACTATCGTGATCCCCACCACAATACATGTGAGCAAGAAAAGCAGATAGCTGAGGGAGAAAAGTTTCTATTTATAATACAAAGCTCCCTCTGCAGAGAAATACTGCACAGGTCTGAAGTAACAAAGCACCACTACAAACTCAAGGCTGGTTTAGGAAAAGGGCTTCTCTGTCAGAAGTCTAAAGGGACCGGAGAATGCAATTTGTGAATGTGCACTGCACGGTGGACACAGAGAAGGTGCATCACTTTGGCTACCACCTGCCATCAGCACTCCAGGTGAGGGGAGTGTGGACACAGTGGTGGATTACCATGTGCAAAGTAATCCTTGCATACCTTGGAGCAAGGAATTTACTCCAAAATACACGAGGGGGAACTACTTGGGGATTGCTGTTGTGGTTGCCTCAACAAACAAAGCACAATTCAGCTCTCAGGCAAGTTTCTGACTCACAGTAAACTACCCTGAGTTATTTTGCATTATGCCACATTAAATTCTAAGATAATTTATTGATTTTAAATTCCTTAGAAAGAGGAGAACCCTTGACCCCCTTAACCAATCTAAACCAAGCATTGATCTAAGGGAAAGTGTGGCTTTCAGTGAGGCTTGGGGCAACTTCTGTGAGCTTTCCTCCTCCCGCAGAGGAAACGTGACTGCTACATGAATAGGAAACCCTGGTGACAGGGGGTGCATGCTACTACAGTCACAGCCAAGAGGCGATGGCTGTATAGGAAGGCCCTATATGATGGCCTTGATATGAAGTAAGGTCCTGTAAAAGTTTTTTTGTTACAGGTTTCTAGGTACACCTCAAAAACGTTTCTGCAGATAGCATTTCAGTTAGCTAGAAATCAGCCCCACAGAATAATGACGAAAAATCCTTCAGGTACTGAGCATGACTCCAGCTCAGCACGCCTGCTGATTAGCCAGTCTTTTGAGTAAAATAGGGTCCTGTTTCTTACATTAACCAAATCTTACCTGCATGTAGCAACCACACATTCCCAGCTCTCACCTGTCTGAATATATAGCTCGCTAATGGCTCATCCAAGTTGGGCTGATTATCAATGAATGTAAAGAGATCCAGACCAGATCCATGCTTCTCCATCACCAGCTGGAAAAAGTGTTCATTTTCAAATACATCCAGCACCTATAAATAACAGGCTTTTTTAATCAAGTGATTCATCCTGATGGAAGGGATCACAAGAAACGTGAACCTGTAACAAAGTAGCTTCAATAACATTTTCTAGTTGTTAGTAGTTTTTATTATTGCAGTTTGTATTCTTGCACACATAGTGATCTAATGCTGTAACTATTGTACTAACCCCTGTTTCTGCCTAGGAATGTAGTGGATGTATGTAGACATAAGTTCTCACTATATGTCATTAGACAAAATGAGTAAAACCAAAGCAAGTCTTGGTCCTCAGCGGATAATTGGGATAACAGACTCCTAAATAATTCCACTCCGGACAGCTTGGCCTTGGTAGGGCAGATGCACCAAGCTACAGAGATAGAGAGGCACCAAGAGGGCAACAAGATCAGAGCAAAACAACCTGGAAGGACACAGTATAAGCAATCTTAGAACTGAGTTTGCGCAGAAACAAAGATCAACCAGCGGACACCGTGATGAAGAGGACAAGCCTTCATCTGAAGGCCCCCGATGACCACCTGGAGGCGCTAACAGACATGCGTGAAAGATATTAACATATGCTAATTAGTCCTCGGAAAATGCATGAATATGCTAAGCATTTCTCAGAAATATAATGAATACGTATATCGTGACTGTATTTAACCTGACATGGCAGGGTGTTTGGCACGCACGTTTGGAGGAGAGATCCCCCATGTGCTGGGCACTGTAATAAAGGATACCTGCTTAATAGTATACATTGTACTGTTATTACCGGACCTTCGAATCAATTGGCACCCCAGATGGGACAGACTCTGTCTGGCTGCGGGACGCGGTGAGAACAGGAGCCCCTTGGGCGCCCTCGGGAGCTTTTTCCCAAAGGGGTTCCTCGCCTTGTCTGGATAACCACAGGAACAGACAAGGACCATCTGTGAGTAAAGGTATTCTTTTAGTACTACTGGCATCAATCTAAGGTTAGGGACTCCCATAAGTCATAATCTGATTAATTGGGTTACGCGGGGAGAGAATACCGGGCTGCTAGCGCCTTAAAGGTATACATGGGGTTCAAGTCCCCACTGGATGCGGCCTTGGCTGATATATGGATCATTATTCTGGAAATTGACCATGATTCTGGTAAACGATTTGGACTGAGATAATCCTAAATTAATATTGTATGACTGTGTGTGAGGCCTCTGTGTGGACAAATACAAATAAGTACAAAGTGAGTGTGGAGTTCTGATCCGCGGTTTTGCTGTCCCTTGAGGGAAGCAGCCAGAGACAAACGAAGCGTAAGAAGAGTGAATGTTGATTTTTAAGTAATTATCACATTGTTGTTATTTGTCAGAAGGACGTGGAAAGGGGGAAGTGGTAGTTAAATAATGGGGACTTCACAGAGCAAAGAGATACTGAAGAACAGCCCTTTGGGCTGTATTTTGTACCACTGGAAAGAAATAGGGGGACTCCCAGGAGGCAGCGTAAATAAAAGGACGCTAATGAAGTATTGTAATCAATGGTGGCCGTTGTATAAGTTAGATTATGAGCAAAAGTGGCCTGAGAATGGAACCCTGAACTATGATACTTTGCTACAGCTAATGTTGTTTTTAAGGAGGGAAAGAAAAAGGGATGAGGTCTCATCTGCCGATACGTTTTTCACTGTGCGAAATCACCCCGAGTGGCAGAAGGAATGCGGTACAACGCCAGCGCCACAGGACGCTCTTGCGTCGGCATTAGAAAAGGACAGAAAGCAAGAGGCGGGCGGACTCCGGCGTGGGGTTCTGCGTGCGGCACAGGGCACAGATGCCCGAACACCACAGGCGAGGGGCAGAACCCGGGGCCTTGAAGGCAGGCGATGGGGCCGGGGGGCCCGGCCCTGGTAAGAACGCCCTTACAATTGTACGAGAAGGATACAGGGAAGATCCTAGCGGGGCAGCCAGGAAATTGGAATGGATAGTTAAGAAGAATTTGGGTCCGGATTGGAAAGATGTGGATTTGATACTAGAGACAATGACAGAGGCTGAGAAAGGAATCGTGTTAAAAACAGCAAGGGATCACGTGAGGGCACAAATTAACGCAGGTACCTTACAAGGGACGGAGGAACAGCATGTTCCCTTCAGAGACCCGGGGTGGGACCGCAGTGATCCAGCCCAGTATCGACTGTTACAGCAATATCGTAACTTGGATTCGCTGTGGGCTGGAACACAGGATCCGGAAAGCAGCAAACGCGTCAGCCTTGTATGAAGTAAAGCAAGGCCAGACAGAGACCCCAACGGAACTTCTGGATAGATTACCATCAGCAGTGCAAAAATTCACTACTATGGATCCGACATCAGATGAAGCTAGACAACAACAACTGGTATCTCCATTTTTAAGACAGTCTACTAATGATATTAGGAGGAAGCTGCAAAAACTCAAAGAACCAGATATAAGGAACTTAGAAAATCTAGCAGAAGAGGTGTGGCGAGGGTATCACAATAGGGACGAAGAAGCTAGAAAGAAAATGGTTCGGGTAATAGCCTTAGCCACTGTGGCTGCATTGTCCCAACAGAATGAAGAAGTATGAAGGAGACAGGGACAAAGAAACCATGACAAATGGGGACTGAGAACCAATCAATGTGCTGGTTGCAGGGGATTCGGGCATTGGAAAAGGGAATGTCCATGAAGCAGAAAAGGACCCTGTCCCAGAACAGTTACTGAATTGCAAAATAGTGAATGACGGGGACCTGGGGAATCCACCCGAGCGGATCCACTGGTTAACATAAAGCTAAGGAAACACAATGTGGAATTTTTGGTGGATACTAACAGGTCATTTTCAGTTCTGAATCAACAATTGACACCCTTGGATAAGGATTTTGTAACTGTTGTGGACGCTACAGGCCAATTGGAAAAGGCATATTTTCTAAACCCAACAGAGTATAAGTTAGGTAAGCACACTGGAATACACAGATTTTTGTACATGCCTGGGGCCCTTAAGTCCCTTCTAGGACGAGACCTATTGGAACAGTTGAATGCCACAATCATTTTCAGAAAGGGACAAATAGAATTTGAAATTGAAAATACTAAATTGACCAAAATTCTGGGCTTCAAACCATAGAAAAAGGAGGAGTGCCTCAGGATATACTAGACCAAGTGTATCCAGGGGTATGGGCTTTGGGAACCCCAGGCAGAGCCAAAAATGCAGACCCAGCAGAAATAAAATTGAAACCTGGAGCTCAACCAGTTAAGGCCAAACAGTACCCCTTCAAGTTAGAGGACTAAAAAGGCATAAAGGAAATAATTGATAATTTTATAAATTTCGGGTTATTAATAGAATGTGAATCTCAATATAACACCTCCATTTTGCCAGTGAAGAAGTTGGATGGGAAAAGTTATAGATTAGTTCAAGACTTAAGGGCAATTAATAAAATCGTGGAAGATCTCTATCCAGTAGTAGCTAACCCCTAAATCTTGTTGAATAAACTGGAGGATAGCCAGGGATGGTTTACTGTACTAGATCTAAAAGATGCCTTTTTCTGTTTACCTCTGGCCGCACACAGTCAGAACCTATTTGCTTTTGAATGGGAAAATCCAGATTCTGGACAAAAGTCCCAATTAACCTGGACAGTGTTACCCTAAGGTTTTAAAAATAGCCCTGCCATCTTCGGAAATCAACTAGCCCGGGATCTTGAAAAATAGATTCCTCCGGCACAACAGGGGACTTTGTTACAGTATGTGGATGACCTCCTCATTGCCGTAGAAACAGAGGGGGATTGCAGTAAGTAGAGAGTGCGTCTTCTCAATTTTCTGGGACTTGATGGTTGTCAAGTCTCTCAACAGAAAGCCCAGATGACTCAACAGCCAGTGACTTACCTTGGACTTGAAATCTTAAGAGGACAATGAAAACTGTGAAGAGAGACGAAAGAAGCCATCTGCTGGACTCCAAAACCACAAACGGTAAAAGAATTCAGAACCATTTTAGGAATGACACATGGTGTAGACTATGGATATACAATTATGGTTTAATAATTAAACCCTTGTATGAACTGTTGAAAGACAAGGCCAGGCAGCTGATTTGGACCAGAGAGGCAAAAAGGACTTTTGAACAATTAAAAAGGGAACTTATGAGAGCCCCAGCTCTTGGACTTCCAAATGTTCTAAAACCCTTTTGACTATTTTCCCACAAGAGACAAGGCATTGCCCTGGGAGTGCTGGCCCAGCAACTGGGGCCATACAAGAGAGCAGTTGCATATTTCTCCAAGCAATTGCACGAGGTAAGCAAGAGGATGGCCTGGATGTCTGCGAGCAGTTGCAGCAGTTTTCCTTAATATTCAAGAAACTCCTAAGTTCACTATGGGCCAGAAAATGACAGTCATAGTCTGGCACACAGTTTCTGCAGTATTGCAGCAAAAGGGAGGCCATTAGCTCTCACCATCCCGATTTCTAAAGTATCAGGCTATTTTGGTGGAACAAGATGATGTTAATATTGTGACAGCTAACATTGTGAACCCAGCATCCTTTCTTAGTAAAGACTCTGCCACTATGGAACAACTAACGCACGACTGCTTGGAGACTACCGAAACAGTCTACTCCAGCAGACCTGATTTAAAGGAGAAACCATTGGAAAGCGCAGAGGAATCCTGGTTCATCGATGGAAGTAGCTTCATGAAAGACGGGGCTCGTAAAACAGGGCATGCGGTAACCACAGCACATGAGGTAATTGAGGCAGAACATTCCCCTGCAGGTATGTCTGCTGAAAAGACAGAAATAATTGCTCTGACCAGAGCCTTAGAATTGGTGAAAGGAAAGAAAATAAATATTTGGACAGACTCCAAATACGCCTTTGGACTGCTTACAGCTCAAGGCAAACAGATTAAGCATGCAAAAGAAATATTACAGCTTTTGGAAGCCATGAATTTACCAGAGCAAGTGGCAATAATGCATTGCAGAGGGCAGCAAAAAGGTAACACTGAACAGGAATTGGGAAATAAGCTGGCAGATCAAGAGGCTAAAGAGCACCAGAAAGAAATTTTATAAAACTCTTGGCACTAGTTCCAGATGGTAAACTTCCAAAAATGGAATTTAAATACTCACAAGACGATATGAAATTGATAGAGGATTTAGAGGTAAGTGAACAAAAAAAGACGTATTTAACGCCAGACAATTGTATAGTTATACCTTCAAACTTATTATGGTAAGTAGTCAGAAAGGAGCATAATAAAACTCATTGGGGAGCAGATACCCTATATAAGGATTTGAACAAGAGGGCAGTAAGCAGATATCTTTACACTGCTGTGAAACAAGGAACTCAAATGTGTGAAATTTGTCTGAGGAATAATCTGAATACAACATGCGAAGTATACTTTGGGAAAATTGGAAGGGCAAACATACCAGGACAACATTATCAAATTAATTTTTCGGAACTCCCAAGAAAAGGGAGGTATCGATATTTATTGGTTATAACAGACACATTTTCCGGATGGCCTGAAACGTTTCCCTGCAGAACGAATAAGGCTCGAGAAGTAGTATGAATTCTGGTAAATGAAATCATACCACGATTTGAGGTGCTGGCAATCATATCCTCGGATAGAGGGTCACATTTTTGCACACAGTAGTACAACAAATCAGTAGAATTTTGGGTATTGATTGGCAGCTACACACCCCCTACAGACCATAGGCAAGTGGCCAAATAGAAAAAATTAATCACTTAATCAAACAACAACTAGCAAACATTAGTCAAGAGGCAAAATTGTCTTGGGACAAAGCCCTACGCTTGGCTTTACTAAGAATCAGAGTGAAGCCCAGGAACAAAGAGGGCATCAGTCCATTTGAAATTTTGTTTGGAAGACCTTATCAATTGTCATATCAAGGGGAGGACATGGTGCAAATGGGGGAGGGGTACTTACACAAATATTTGATAGCTTTAGGAAAACAGATAAGTAATATTCAAAAATTAGTTTTAGGAACAAGGGGTAGGGGTCTAGATCAACCAATACACATGATCAAACCTGGAGACTGGGTTTTTGTTAAGACTCTTTCAAGCGATCCCCTTGGAGAGAAGTGGAACGGACCTTACGAAGGGCTGCTAACTACTTTTACTGAAATCAAGATTCACGAACAACCAGCTTGGATTCATTATTCAAGAGTCAAGAAAGCTTCTGCTCCCTGGACTGTAGAACATCAATCACCTCTCAAAATAAAAATAACAAGACGACCGTGATTAGTTTAATTCTGTGGGCAATGATGGTAGCCATGAGTCCAGCTATTTGGACAAAGCAATGGGACAGGAATTTGCATCCTAGTCCAGAACATCACTCAGATACTACACAAAAATGATTGCTGGATTTGTACTCAAATGCCAGCTTCACGAGAAAACAAGGTAACTCTTTTAGGAATACCAAGCCCCAGCAACTTACATTTAAGTGTAGACCAGAAATGGTAATCAGGCAACACAAATCACCCAGCAAAAAATTCAAATAAAGGAACCCAAAGCATGGTACAATTATACCTGTACACAGCAATGCTACAGACAGGGAGAAGATAATACCCCATTATGCAAGAGTAATGCTACCATAGATGTAGGTGAAACAAAAGAGTGTAGTAGATATAAAAATTTATTTGGGGAAGGTAGTTTCGATGAAGACTGACTGATGGGTTTTAACGCAAGTAAAACTAAACCCACAGTTGGGTGGCTGGTGCCTAAAAGCCCTGAGGAAACAGGATGGCATTGGCTGTGTGGAAATTGAGCTTGGAAAGTACCACTTTTCGAGAAGAAAGCAGTGGGTACTCTAGGAGATTCAGTCCCCAATCTCACAATAACTAACAAGGTACATTGACAGAAAGGATGGGTTAAAATTTCTATTAGGCAAATTAAAAAGACCTGTAATGCCATTGCAGAAAGACCTACTGGTTGTCACAGCTCTGCTAGATGGTTCCTTCCATGGCTTGGAGTAAGTGAATTAGAAAAGACCATTGTAAATATATCAACAGTAAAAGAAAACATTGAAAATAAAACCACAGATGCCATAAACGCTCTGCAGACTAAAGCATCTAACCTATCGAAGGCAGTGATCCAAAACAGGATCGCCCTCAATTTGTTACTAACCTCACAAGGTTGCACAATCATAAACACAAGCTGTTGTGTATATGTAGATCAAAGTGGTAGAATATCCACAGACCTAGAGGAAATTTGGAAACAAACCAGAATATTACACGAAGTAACTAAAGATGGTAGTTCCTGTGGATTTGAAGAGATGTGGAATAAGCTCACCTCATAGCTACCAAATTTATCCTGGTTGAAGAACTGGTTTTTCTTAGTTCTTGTGGTAATAGGTGTATGTATTTTAGCTTGTATAATGATTCAATGCTGTTGGAAGTGTAAGTATGGAATAATCTAATGATTATTAAAACTTTTAACCTGAAAGGAACAATAGTCTAAAAGAAAAGGGGGGATTGATGGAAGGGATCACAAGAAACGTGAACCTATAACAAAGTAGCTTCAATAACATTTTCTAGTTGTTAGTAGTTTTTATTATTGCAGTTTGTATTCTTGCACACATAGTGATCTAATGCTGTAACTATTGTACTAACCCCTGTTTCTGCCTAGGAATGTAGTGGATGTATGTAGACATAAGTTCTCACTATATGTCATTAGACAAAATGAGTAAAACCAAAGCAAGTCTTGGTCCTCAGCGGATAATTGGGATAACAGACTCCTAAATAATTCCACTCCGGACAGCTCGGCCTTGGTAGGGCAGATGCACCAAGCTACAGAGATAGAGAGGCACCAAGAGGGCAACAAGATCAGAGCAAAAAGGCAGGCTGTCCTCCTGCAGTCCATGGAGGTCCACAGTGGAGCAGATCTCCATCTGTAGCCTGTGGAAGGGACCCCCTGCTGAACAATATATAGTGTACTATTAGGTTATTACCAGATCTTCAAATAAATCCTCAAACTGCCTTATTTTTTTTTTTAAACAAATACTGTTCTCCTCTTGCAGATTTAATCAAAATATATTATAACTTTTGAAAGTCTCATTTCACTGAGCACAAATGTTTCTTGAAAAGAGAGCATAACAAAAACTGAGAGCAGAACTAAAATCAAGAGGAATTATCTTCTGGGGCACTTAAAAAAACCCACAAAAAAACAACCCCAAACCAAAGAACAGGAATCAAGATACATATCCAGATTGTTCACTGAACTAGTACATGTGACATCACATTTCCAAGATATGCATCCTATCATCTTGAAGTAACATACAGACTTTTTTCTGTTAGTCACACCTTCAGATCTATGTTTACATCAGTTGTTTGGGGTAAAAGTGTTGACGCAAGTGACAGTCTGCTGTAACATACCCTCCAAAACAAAGCAGGATAGATAGGTTCCTTTCTTTCCTGAAAAGACATATTTAATAAAGGAAACTTCCTCACTCCTGAAGAGGAACATGAGCCACCAAGTATTCAAAGGAACAATCTGATGCAGTTCAAACTACACTCACTCCAAGTTCACTGTACCTTAATGATACTGGGGTGATGCAGCTTCAACAGGATTGCTATTTCTTGAGTAACTCTCCCCAGATCAGGATCATCTACCCAGCAGTCCTCAAGCACCCTCTCCTTCCAGATGAACTTTACGACAACCTACACAGACAACAGCATTCAGCATCACCCACCAAAGAATGGCTTTAAGTGTTTGGTAAGTTAATCTCCACGAAAAATGTTAGCGAATCATATTACTAGCAGGACAGAAGTAACCCAATATGAATTGCTTATAGTATCTTTAAACATATTTAAACTAATTTAATCCTACCAGCCAAATGATGCACAGAAAAGACAGATACTTTTTTTTTTTTTTCATTGATGCTCTGAATTCCAGAGGCTTTGACAGGCCAGCTCTCTTATCAACTCAAGCAGTAGTGACTTTGGGCACAGGGGTACAGTGGAGGGAAACAAGTACTTAACATCCCTGCAGAGAAACACCAGAGCTTGCCTCTCAACACTGAAAACACTTCTAATGATAAAGAGGTGGGTCCCATAACCTCAACATGTCTACTCCACATTCTTGAGTCATGGCATGATAAAGATTTTGAAGTTTGTCATTCACAGTAACTGAAGACTAAAACCTGTAATTCTGTTAAACTCAGCGTATACTTCTTTCAAGAGGTTAAATGAGCTACATGGTCAGTCTCATTCTGTGCCTGTTGTTTTAGGTAAAATTTGTATACCACATCAACGTGGACATTTTGCTGTCCTGTTTTCATGAGGTTAGTGATTTCAGATTTCTGTTTAAAAGGAAAACTCCAGGCTACCAAATCGCAGCTTTTAATAGTGTAGTATTGACAGAATATGAACACTCTAACCTTTCAGTTTTCATCCTAAATAAATACTGCAATGAGAATCTAGAAGAAATACTTAACCTCCTGATGATCTTTCTTGCCTCTGGCAGTCCATACAAAGCCAAAAGATCCTTTGCCAATAAGACTGAGAGTGTTGTAATTTTTTGCGTATTCTCCCTCACATGCCCTTAATCTTTCAAGCTCTTCATCTCTTCGGGAATTCTCAAACAGTGAAGCTGATCTGATGGCCTAGGTACAGATAAGAAAAAAAAAGTGAGAAAAAAAAGAGGAAGCCACAGAATCATGTTTCTAGAATGAAGTAAATACTGAAAAGAAAGAAAGAAAGTACCCATCTGCAAGAACAGCTAAAAAGAGTCCTCTTTGGTTTTGATAGCAAGAACTGTATGTTGATGTAACCATCTCCATCACGAGACAAATTAAGTCAACAGTCATCTCTCAGCGGCTACAAATACTACTTAATTCAGAGAAAGATAAAGAAAACAGAAGCATATGCACCTTAGATGCTTGCACAAAATTCTCTGTGCAAGTATGAAAATGAATTCATTGTGGTCTATCACCAAATAATAATTTTATTTGATTAATAAAATGTAGGTTACTTTCAATGCTGTAAATTTTCCAGGTGAGTGTATTCTAAATGGACAGAACTAAAAAGGTGCTGCTTTAAGCCCTGTCTATAAATTCAGTGACTTCTATTTGCTTCAGTAACCTAAAAAGAGTTAGTGTGTAAAAGATACCAAATTACCAGTGTATACCAAACTTTCTGCTAAGATAGCATTTTAGTTCTGCAGGCTGGTCTCTTAGCAGACACAAAGAGAAAACATGTTCAAGGCATAGCCTCTTAAATGTTAATAGCCCAGCAAAATCCCTAGTAACGAAACATCACATGCCCTCCTACCAAGGCCTGCAACACAGAGCAAAGTTTTTCTTGCTCTGAGGATAGGGCTTGGGGTTGTTTGTCTCAGCAATTAATAAGTTTCTCTACCAAAGACACGTCTAAAATGCATACAGAACACCTTTATGGCCTACACAGTATTCCATACTGAGAGGAAACACAACAAATCTCATAGGGCATATGTTTCGAATAGCGAAATGTGGAGGGACACGTGAAATGGTCGGAAGTGCTTATATTTCAGCATACACATCTGTGTACTTGGAAGACGATTTTATAACAGGAAAGCAAGAGCCACCTTACTACTCAGCTCTCAAAGATCTCATAAAAAATAGCAAGCTTTGCCAATAGCCAAGCTTTTCACTCAAATATCTACTTTATTTCCCAGCTCACTAATTAAGGGCCAGGCAGAGGGGGGGAAGCTACATGTCTAATCTGCAATACATTTCAATAAACAGCAGCTCCTCAGAGTCTCCTGGAGTTTGGAACTATTACCACTATATGTTACACATGCAACATCTAAATCTGTATGTACTTCTCCATTAAGGTCATCATAAAGTCCAGCTACGTAAAGATCTAGCGAATGCATACATTTACTCAAGGGATCTAGAAGATCACCATTACCTATTTTGATCAAAGATAACTATTTTCCTCTGCAGCCTTGGTCAAAGTACTGTCAGTTTTACATCCCACTACTAACTAAAAGGCAGGCCTGAGCAGTTCTGTGTTCAGGTTTTATGGCATCGACATATGGCATTGTGTCTACTGTTCAGCTACATGTTGTTAGCTTTCCGTACACCATCCCGAATGCAGCATCTCAGGAGGCAGCTAAAAACTGCAGTTTTCTTTTGTTGACACAAGTTTCACTGACATGAAAGTTTTCAGCCTAGTATTTCCTTCTTTAAGTGTTATGTCATTGGTGCCAGTGTGATTACATTGATTTAAAAATTAATCTCACCACACTGGTGCAAACCTCTATTGTAGATGTACTCAAACCAGCCTAAGAACAAATTTTAAATTAGGTGCTTTCATTGTTCAGACTGGAAAGGTACCTAAGCTAAGCCACACACACACTACCAGAAATGTAACAAAACAGCAATTTGTCATTTTTACAGCAAAGAAATGTTTCTTTTGACATAAAAATAGGGAAACAAAGAAACAGCAATATCCACCCACCCTGACACGACATTGTTTTAATTTGAAAAACATTTTGACCTTAGCTTCAGCTTAACAGCCAAAGAGAGAAACGCTCAATATTATACAACGGTAGAATTTCTTACTTCTCCAAGACTATGTGTAGAAAGATCTCCAATAGACTGGGTAGAGTTTGCTAGACTGGAGAGCAAAAGCTGAGTCTTTGCTACAGCTTCCTTCTGGCTCTGTAGAAGATCTTTCACCACCCGGACACAGAAAAGCATGGCAGAGTCCTTTAGTTCTACACGTTTCACTTCAAAAAGTATACCTGTAGAAACAGGTGAGGAAGTTAAAATGGTAGAATGAAACTTTAGTGTTGAATGAGACCGCAGACATTTTAGGACAAAATTCTGAGCTCTTAACAAAAGTGAATTACTCCACCGTTTATTTGGGGAACACCTACTCAGTAAGGAATCATCAGAGGGGCTGACAAAAGCACAGCTATTCTAGAGATACTTGGTGGCTATATCCATGGTTTCCACCCCTGGCAGAAACTTTTGTCAGTGTCTAACTGTGATTATTAATTTCACATTGTTATTCTAAATTACACAAAAATGAAGATTTTATACAACAAGCCACTGAATCCAGCTGAAGGAGTGGATGAAACACGTTCCACTACACAATTTAAATACAAGTTTTACAATGGAGTTTATATTTTCTGTTCAGAAAAAGTTATCAGGTTCAAATCTTCTGTGTTTTAAGAATATTTCTGACTATTCAGTCTTAGTTAATTTCTTAGTAACTTTGTATTTTATACCACCTGCTTTTCCAATACCCTCTGAGTAGACTGAAATAACACTTTTTCTTGTAGATGCTACAGCTGCTTCCTTCTCTCCACTGTGAGCTTCTCAGCAGGACTGTTTGCCTTCTGCAAAAATGTGGGTGAAAAAGAGCATCCTGATAAGAGTTTTGGGAAGGGGAGAAGCAGGTTTAACTTACTTAATTGTGAACCATCTCTGTGACAGCAATTCCCAGTGTAGCTGCCTTCCAGAATCTCCAAGGTCAAAGGAGCTGCTGGATTCAGCCTTCCTTCTTGTTTCACTGGGGTTGATGTTGCTTTTATCTCTGTATTTTGCTGCCAACGCAACTGACAGTCGTCTTCCGCACTACCTTTGCTTTGCAGTGGGCTTTGGTTGACGTTGTAGCCCACAGTCTTTGCAAGAGTTTCAGGCTTCTCAAGAAATGCTTTGCAGGATTCTTCAGAGTTTGCTAAATGCCTTTGGGGGACCAGCCACCCAGAATCATCTTCTATGGCAACACCATTCAACAGCTGCTTTTCTTGCCCAGTTGAAAAGGCATTGTTTTTCTGAGTTAACATAGTGCTTATAGCCGAGTCCACTGCATTAGAGGAGGATGCTCCTACAAGAGCTGAGGTAATACCTAAACAATTGTCTGATTTCCCCTTGACACCAACATTTAGATCCAGTACCTCAAGCCCAGAGCAAATACAGTTCAGCTCAGTGTCTGATTCTTTAACACATTCAGAGGTTGTGGCAACTCCTGGTGCAGAAGCACTGCAAACCATTTTATTTCCTGAGCAAACATCACAGATAGTATTTCTTTCATTTGCAAAGAAGGATGAAGCATCATTCGGCAGGCACTTTTCAACAACGTGTTCAAGACTGGCATGTTTTGCATCACACACCAAGTTTGGTTTTGACGATTGCTCTGTAACCATGTGGCTTTGAAAGTCTTGTCTGCAGTCTGGTGCTGCCCCAGACCATGGCTCATCTATTGTTGGTGTTCCAGAGGAGTTACAAGCAACATAAGCAGGGGGCTTAACTGGGCCATAGGATGAGGTATCTAGATTGTCTTCTAGCCTAGGCAACCAGGCAACATTTACTGAAGAAGTTTGTCCCCAGGCATCAGGCGAGTGCTGATGCTTCAGTATTTCATACGGTAACCTACTGATCTGCTGACAATTTACTTCCTCGAGGTCTTGATGATGAACTTGCAATTGGTTAGGCAAGATACTAGTCTCACCGGCACTTTGAGTCTTGGATGCACCAGATACTGCACTATCACTGCTTCTTACTGGAACCTTCATGTTCTGACCTAAAACAAACTGTCCTGAATCAGATGACGTGGGAGAGACCCTTACAGAGATCATCTGAGAATTACTTGATCCTGCAGCTTCCACTGTTCTACACTGTTCCACTGCTCTGATTCTGTCAAGACAGATTTCAGGGTAAGGCTCTCTCTGGTGGCCTGACAGACCATCGGCAGCAATGTCGTCTTCACTGCAAGGATTCAAAGTTATTAGTGATATCAGATGACAAAAAAGTGAGAAAACCATCATGCTGTATACTACACACTCTTCCATTACTATGGTCACTATTTAAAACCTGCACCAATTGTTTTATTTCTAAGATTAAGAGGCAGAAAGCTGTTGGCACAGGCATCCAAAACCCTAACAAATTCCATCTTGACTGAAGAAGAGCAGGTACACTTGAATGGCACTCTTTC